GAAAGAGCCCTTAAGGCCGCCCGACACTCTCAAAGGAATTTTGATTAATTCCAAGGCTTACGATAGCGGAAAAGAGAGTGATAGTAATGCTAGGGAAGGCGTCCTTAACATTCCCTTCCAAAATCAAATCTTGCGGCATTTCCAGCTCCACCCCATGACATGGACGTTGGGCAACAGTCTCTCTACAGACCAGATGCTTGCGACCACTTCACAAGAGGGAAGCTAACAAGCGATCGAGCACCTTCATTCTGTTCCCTTAGAGAGGAAGTACAGCCAATCAATCAAGGATAATCGGAAAGACGTAAGTGGTACACTTCTCCGCCTTACCCTTTACGGACAACTGCCGTCGAAGCGAAGTCTGAACCGCTGCTTTGACTGTACTTCCGATCAATTCTTTTTCAGCTGGAGTAGAGTCCCGAACTACACTCTAAGAATGCGGACGGATCCGTCTGTCCAACTAAAGGGCCCTGGAAGCGCGACACCCTTTCAGACACCTAACCACAAGCCGGATGACGTGTCCCCGTTAATTTTGAACCACTCAAGCGCCTTCTATACTATCTCAATGTCGTTACGACACGACACGAGAATAGACACGTCATCGGCGTATGTGGAAACCCTGGCTCGACCTCCAGGGACGGCGATTCCGCGTAGGGTCGGATTGCACGTCATGTTTCTTAGGCGGCGCGGGAGAGGCTCCAACGCCAAAGCGTAAAGTAATAGTGTTCCTGGACATTTGCGTCTTTGGATAATTTCCTAACTCTTATAATTATTTGAAGCTTTTAAAGGAAATATAAATTTTGAAAAAAGCACAAGTAGTAATCATAAATTGTAATAAAAGGAATAAAATAAAAGTTTATTTTTGTTGAGAGTTAGTGCATCCATAATTTAATAAAACTTTTTCTTTCAGATTTGACAGTGGAAAAAAATCTATAATGAATATTTACGAAAAATTTACTTTTGAAATTCTTCCTATTGCTGATGACAAAGATCTTTTTATTCAACAAAAACGTGTTTGAAAAACCGAATAATGTAATGTTTAATGCTATCTTCTTACCAGAAATATTTTTAAATAGATTTTCTTTTCTTTTTTCCAATAGTTAAGTCATTTTTTATACGGAAGATCAAATCGGGAATAATTCAACAATTCTGAATTACCTCCCTGTTAGTAGTATAATAATTATATATGATATCTAGAATATTTTATGACATTGGTAACTGAAAGAAAGCAAAGTTAAAGCAGTCAATAAACAATATCAATAAGTCTTTATCAATTTTCCCCATTTGTTTTCTTTTCCAGCATCCCTTTTTTTGTTTAATGAATTTTCTTAAAATAAGGAAGACAGGTAAATATTTCACGGCGTCAAATAGTTACAAAAATAGTAAAAGCAATCGATAAAATTATTACTTCATTTTATTTGTTTGAACATATTTTCTTGTACCTATTAATGTAAAACATTCTACGTTTCATAAAGAAATTATTTTATTTATGGGATATTTAAAGGATAAAAATATATTTCTACTTTACTGGTTATAGAAAGTTTAAAACTTATTAGTTTTAAACATAAAGAAAACGAGTTTCTTTATTTTGGTTGTTTTGAGGATTTTATACTTAATTAAATTTGGAGGTAATTTTTTTTTTTTTTTATAAAAGTCGATGTTGCGTGAGGTAACTTCTATTGTCAACAGTTCGAATATGTGGCAGACTTCACCACATTAATTTAACTTTAGATTAGGAATCAAGGCTGACGCATAAAAGGATAATCAAAAGATATTGTTCCACATAAAATATGTATTTAACAAGATGTACAATATCAAACAACGATGTGAAAGAAAGCATGCATTTAAGTAAGAAAAGGTTGAATGAACCAAGAGATGTCTCTCTTTATCTGTTACTTTAGTGTTCCAAAGTTCACTGGAAGAATGTTCATGAGAGTCTCTTTTAATGATTGTTCTTGAAAGATATTGCTGTGTAAGAAGAGTTTATATGAGTGTGTACAAGGTATGTTCAGCATTTGAGTGGTGTGTGTGAGTGAGAAGGTTGGCGCATGGTTTCAACTGTCGTGAATTCGTTTGGCAGTTTAATTCTCACTGATTAGCTAAGAAAAATTCTTGCTTAAATAAGTGACTGTAGGCTCCAGATCGCTGTGCGGGAAGATTTATTCTTTACGTGCAAACGATCTGATTGGTTGGCATCGACCAATCAGCGAGCGAGCTTTGGGGAGACTTAAAATAGCTTCTGTGATCTGTTTCTCCCAAAAGGGCACAAAACTGACTACATGAAAATAGAGCGATTCTAAAATTGTTGCATTGCTGCGGTTTATAAATTGTCTATAATAACGTAGTGGTGATTAATTAACCAATGAATGCTTAGCGTTGTATGTGATTTGTATTTTTGTATGTATCTATGTTCATGCGTAATAGGTCCGCACAAATAGATCTTGCTGTGTTGAAAAGTGTATTTTAAGTGTACAGTAGCTAATATATTTTCAAAATTCTATTAATAACTAATTTTACTAATTTTCTTTGAAATATCTGGGAAAGATATTTGATTATTTAAGGGATTTTAAAGCTTCTTAAAATTTCTGTCATCATATTTCAATTAAAATCGCGGATCGATGCTAAATTGACCTTTAGAACTTTAATTGTTTTAAAGCCTTAACCCTAGAACACAAACCATGGGTATATAGTACCCAGCGCAAATTTTCCTCTTTTTAATTACAATTTTCAGTACCTGATTTTCTTACCTAAATAATGTTTTTCAGTTCCTATTAATGTTAACTCAAAGTCCAAAGTTTGAAGTGCCTGCATGTAAAATATTTCAAATAAAGATTTATATTTTTTTTAATATTTTCAAAATCGGGTATGATATACCCATGGTTTGTAGTAGTGTAACTTTAATTTATGGTTAGCGTTCTAGGGTTAAAATCTCGGATCCATGCTAAATTGACCGTTAGAAAGTGTTTTAAAGCCTTAATCACATGCGTAAAATTATTTTTCATTTTTTCTACATTAGCTTCAGGCAAAAATCTTTCAGACAGAACACAAATTTTACTCCACAGGGAAACCTTAAATAAGTTAAATATATTTTAAGGGCTTTTAGCTCAGTTTTTGGTGGTACTATGTTTATGCCTTTTGACTATCAAACATTTGAAGTTTTTTTTGATTGATTGATTTATTTGTTTTCTACGGTTTATCAACCCTTTACAGGTTATTTAAAGCCAGAAAATATGTTATTGTGCTAGCCCCTCTTTACTTTGGGACTGACACGAATAAGAAGAATACTTTATCAACATGTAACAAAGATATTTATTTACACCTAAACATGAATACAACGTCTGTCTATATCTCTGAGATGAGGTATTATGACTACTTACATTATTTGGACTGTTATCCTCATCTCCATTGTTATATTCACAACGTTTCAGTCGTTGTATGCTATGGCCTTCTTCAGGCGATTGGAATTTCGAATCGAACCCTTTATTTCGTCCACCGGTCATGGCACGTGGAATTAGAATAATCTACCCCGGTGGACGAAATAAAGGGTTCGGTTTGAAATTTCAATCACCTGAAGAAGGCCGGAGCGTTGTGAATATGGCAATGGAGATGAGTATAACTGTCCGAAAAAATGTAAATAATGTAAGTAATGAATACAACGGTTAAAATACACAATGTCCTTTCCTAAATTATATATATATATATATATATATTAGAGAGAAAGAGAGAGAGAGAGAGAAAGAGAGAAAGAGAGAGAGAGAGAAAGAGAGAGAAAGAGAAAGAAAGAGAGAAAGAGAAAGAAAGAGAGAGAGAGAAAGAAAGAGAGAGAGAGAGAAAGAGAAAGAAAGAGAGAGAAAGAGAAAGAAAGAGAGAGAAAGAGAAAGAAAGAGAGAGAAAGAATATCGGACGGACTTACCATCCATTTGGTGGAGCGAAATATGGCTTGTTCGCTTGTACCTTTAAAACCCTCGGCAACTGGTACCATTGGCGGCGGAGAGAATTTCTTCTGTGTTACTTCGGAGCAGTTCCAGTCCCTTCTCTGGTGGTGGTCAGCTTTTTCTGAACCCACGTGGTTTTATTAACCAATGAGAGACCGCCTAACATCATGTGACCAGTCTCTCTATATAGGAGCAGGCGAATTTTACAAATCCGACAATTTTTTTTTTAGACTAAGAATTTTTTAGATAATAGTGGTTTAGGGATACAATTCTTACTAATTAACCCATAGCTGGGAGGATAAGAGGTGGCTCCATACATTTCCCAAGAATATTTGCGCGTAAGTGAATATAACAAACTGAACTGGAATTGGAACTTGGCTCCCCAATGAAAAATTCTGAGACATTTATATATTATACCACACACACATCCAAACTTACATCACATGGTATTCCCAAACGGCCATCCAACTAGGTACTGACCAGATTCGACGCTGCTTAACTTCGGTGATCATACAAGGAACCGGTGTTTCAACGTGATGAGGCCCTACACTTACTACCTGTTATAGTGGAACACACCTATTCTATAGTTAATAGACTCTCCCACCTATAATAAGTAGGAGTAGTAAGAGTAACGTCGGGCAGGGGGGGGTGAGTAAGTCAGTCGGTCGATGTCGGACGACAGTTAGTCGAATACGAAAGTATCAGCGACCACAACTAGATTACTCTGCGTTATACCTATTATATCAAGTTCCTAACGTTTTGGACGTCGAACCTATTTTAGGACCGACTTAGTACAAATACAAGCCTCCACTGGGAAAATCACGCCACAACACTACCCGCACATCCGAGCTTACAGCACCTGGAATTCCCAAGCGGTCATCCATCTAGGTACTGACCAGGCCGGATGTTGCTTAACTTCGGTGATCGTACGTGAAGCGATGTTTCTACGTGATGTACACATCCGAGCTTACATGGTATTGTATGGTATTCCTAAGCGGTCACCCATCTAGGTACTGACCAGGCTGGAGGTTGCTTAACTTGTGATATGGCTCTACCTGCACATCCAAGCTTACAGAACATGGTATTCCCAAGCGGTCACCCATCTAGGTATTGACCAGGTTCGACGTTGCTTAATTTCGGTAATCGTATAGGGGACCGGTGTTTCAACATGATATGGCTGTAAGCACTCAAACAATTTATTGTTGCATTCAGCGATTTTGGCCACATCGGCAGACAAGACTCTCCATTTATCTTAAAAAAAAAAAAAAAAAAAAAAAAAGACATTATAAATAAATCAGGAATATTTTGTGCCAATGTGAGGTATCTGAGAGATTAATGTTTATCCAGTCACCGAAGACAAGGATTTGTACCAAACGTAACCCCAAAATACTGTAATGTTAAATACAAATAGTGAAAGGCGTTATATGTCATCGAATACAGTAGAGATTGTTTTCTTTGAATATTGACATAAAATATTAAGAACTACTTACCCACGGAGAGAGATGGAACTAAAAATTCCCCATGATCTGTGATGACAAGCAGTTATAAGAAGAAAAAAAAAATAGATAACCGAATGTGAATAGATAAATTCGAACAAATTTGCACAGAGAATAAGACCGACAGCTTTTGATAGATCCAAGATGGCAGAAAAAAAAACTGAATAAAAAATAACAGTCAATTGTGATAGGGACTGAAGTCATCAATCAAACATAATTGGTCGGTTTATGTGATTCTAGTCGTCGTATTAAAAAGAAAAAAATGGAAGAATATAAGTATCATAAGTACGTAGGTAGAGATAAAGTTATTTATATAAAAACTAATGTCATCGATTTTAAACTGAGTAATAAATACGAATATAAATATAAATAAAAATTCAATAATAAAAATAAATAACGTCGACACTATTTACATTATTTGGACTATTGTCCTCATCTTTGTCGCCATATTTATTACAACGTTTCAGCCCTTCACTATTTATCTATATTTCTGAGATGAGGTATTATGTACACTATTTACATAATTCGGACTATTGTCCTCATCTTTGTCGCCATATTTATTACAACGTTTCGGCCTTTCAGTATCTGTCTATATTTCTGAGATGAGGTATTATGTACACTATTTACATTATTCGGACTATTGTCCTCATCTTTGTCGCCATATTTATTACAACGTTTCAGCCCTTCACTATCTATCTATATTTCTGAGATGAGGTATTATGTACACTATTTACATAATTCGGACTATTGTCCTCATCTTTGTCGCCATATTTATTACAACGTTTTAGCCCTTCACTATCTGTCTATATTTCTGAGATGAGGTATTATGTACACTATTTACATTATTCGGACTATTGTCCTCATATTTGTCGCCATATTTATTACAATGTTTCGGCTGTTGTACGCTCCGGCATTCTTCAGGTGGTTGGAATGTCGAACTGAACCCTTTATTTCGCTCACTAGTGTAGACTGTTCTAGTTCCATGTGCCATGTTTAATGGATGTCAGTTATCAGTTATCTCCTGCTAATTTTTCCTCTGAAAGTTCTCCACTGCCTTAACCGGGTATTGAGCTCACACTCTTTGGGTCCTGTCACTGGATCTAACCAACGCCTTTATCCACTGTGACATGTGACCTCAAGATCCATGGAAGTGGAGAACCCAAAATTGTGTGGTTGACAGTTCACATATTACACCCCAGCTAAAGAAACCAGTGGAGCGTACAACAGCCGAAACATTGTAATAAATATGGCGACAAAGATGAGGACAATAGTCCGAATAATGTAAATAGTGTACATAATACCTCATCTCAGAAATATAGACCGATATTAAAATAATGTCGATTAATTTTAAAAATATTCAAGAGTGCTACAGTTTTATAAAAAAATACTTTGGTCTTTCTTCTTAATGATAACATTTTGACAATAAAACTTTGTTTTTATTAAGTTTTGGGCTTTTTTTTTTTTTCATCATGCTATGATTTGTTTTTACCGAAAAAAAAAAAAACTACGTGTCTAGTACAACATTACATTAGTTTATTGTAGCCCCTTCGCTACTCCGTTCACGTGATCAAGGACAGGAGTTATATATCTTCATGACCTTGACCTTACATGGACTACCTTTAACATTTCGTCACAGTTAGATCTTCTCGTCAGTATCCCTTCATTTACTTCTGCGATCATTACTAGAGCCATTGTTTGTTCATGTTCCTTGAATCTAAAGCACATACTTTTTTGTATACAATGTAAATAAAATTTGTTTTAATTTTGCTGTCCTCTCGTTGACCCGTCAGATTTCACGTCTTTTCTTTTTAAAATGTTTAGCGTGCCTCTTGTGACTCATTCTTATTTGGGCCATATTTTATCGCCCCCCCCCACCTCAAGTAGGCCCACTTACAAGTTATCATCACACGTCCTTGGACAATTAAAATCATCAATTTATTTTGTAAAACAGTCCCCCCCCACACACACAAGATGCTCTGAATCGTAAAATAAAAGATTCGATTCAAGGCAAAAAATAAAAAAAAAAAACAATAAAACTAAGATATTATTTTTACAACAATTTATATGTATTGCATATTACAATTTATATAAATCAGTGTTGATGATATGTACAGTCGAGTATGGGCACCTCGGCGTGGTGTAATAATGGTTATTAAAGCTTGTCTCGCTAGAACAATTACGACTGAGTAGCGAGTTCGATCCTCCTTGGGTGCCCCATACTTTCGGCCTTGTGCCACATCTAAGCTGTGCTTAGCAAATCACTATGTAGAGTCGAGTATGTGGGTTGGGGTTAGGTTCGGAAATATATTTGCTTCTTCGATACATGGCACTGAAAAGAGACTTAACTCTTGGAATCAAGCTGATTCCACGCGTTACCGTTTTTTTTTGTACGCCTAAATAATTATGCAGAGGATAATCTAGCTGGGTAGGTTTAAGCCGTGGCGGGGGGGGGATTATTGTTAGCGTTCTAAATCGCAGTAGGAGTAAAAATAGACTTCGATTAATTTGCTGGATTAACTAGTGTAGATGATCGTTTGGGTTTGTTTGAGTGTTGTTGAATTAGGAACTCGTACTGTTTATTTCCTGCTAGAAGAAGGTCCAACTACAAGAACAATGTCGGACTCAAGTTGAGTCAATACGAAGAAGTAAAGAAAAACAAACAAGATCTATATCTATATATATATATATATATATATATATATATATATATATATATATATATATATATCAACAAATATATGTATTAAACAACAAATTTGCAAGTGACAAAGACATCAACATTTGTGTTTGTGTGTGAACGTAAAGAGTTTGTATTATCGTGAATGTTCGTACGTCGGTGTATGTGTGTATAATGTTCACGGCGTCTTCCCATAATTGGAAGTGGGCAAAACGCGGACTTCGACGAGATATCACATTTTTAAAAGTGTCCGCTGAAATGCAAAGTGAAAAAGAATAGTTATTTCTGTAAAATACAGAAAATGTGGCACAAGGCCTAAAAAAGATGGGTGGGGAAATGACGGTTATCATCTGTCTTAATTTTTTAAACTTAGCTAACCACAACCACTGACCCAATCCAATATTCCTACCACCAAAACAACACATTCATACTTACCTTTCTAACTACACCCACCAAAACACCTTAAAGTGAAAGAGAACGAAGCAAGTAGTCGACCAGTATTTATAGTGTAGGGAGAGCAACCCCTAGTAAATAATTAGGGAATTAAGGAGGAGATAACTCCGACACTAGTTTCGCGCCTGCGAATCCAAGTCTGGATTTTTATTTAAAACAACTCACTTGCTGAGACCGTGTTTTTCTTGGTCGGCAGGAATGTTACTGAATATATATATATATATATATTTTTTTTTTTTTTTTTACTTACGGTGTGAATTAATTTGGACCTTTTGCTAAGATGGGTTTTTCAGTAATTAATGTTGCAATTATCTGGTTCTCTTACAAGGAGCCAATATAGAGATTTACATTTAAATAGGTCCGTGACTGACTGATTCTCACCTTAACGAGCTTAGGTAGCTACATTTTTTTTTTATCCTTTCGTTAAGCAAGCTTGTTTTCATTTTCTGGCTTGGGCGCCTTTGGAGCCAACGGCGTGTTTTAGCCTTTAAACACAGTAGACAGTCATTCACGGGAGATAGAACTAAGAAGTTTTTTTTTTTTTTTTTTTTTAGTTAGGCCAATTGAGCCCCCATCCCGAAGGAATTCAGGTTTTCATTTCGTTTAGCAAAGAAAGCTGGTATTATTTAACTGGCTTTTGGACCCACGTGGCCAACGGATTTAATGTTAATTTAAGTTAACATGCCCCCCCACGCCTATGACGGAACATCGAAGCCTGCTCTGTTGGCTTTGTGCTTCCGTAACACTAAATGTCTGTGGTATACCATTCACGAGTATTTATTTTTTTTTCTCAGGTATTTATCAATTCGGCTTGTTTTTTTATTCGTTTATATTAAGACGAGCTACTGTATTAGTAAGTGAATACATGGGCATCGGTTAAAGAGAACGTGTATTCTAATATGGCATTTAATGTCGCGTGGAGTTGATTATTATTAATATTATTATTTATTTATTTATTTATTTTTTTTTTTTGGCGGTGGGTGACTTTAAAAGTGAAGAAACTTACCATAATATCGATGCAGGTGAAGCAATACTGGAAAGTGCCGACAAATCAGGCCGCCGACCTTTGAATAGCTTGCAAACCAGTCTCTGATTGGCTAATACAAATTATGCGGGGAGGCAGCCTGTTAACAGGTTGGTGTCTCTGGCAGAACGAAGCTGATGTTACAATACCCGAAATTCATACTTACCTGCCCCTGGGCTGGTGGTATCACGGCTATGACTAGCTTGGACCGGTTCCGGCCTGGACCAGCTAGGACAAGCCAAAACCAGCGGTCCGAGTGAAAACACTCTAGTCCCCACGTTAAAAACCGACCTTGTGTCACAACCTGACTCAGTTGCGGGGTCAAGTAAATACACTTACCTGCCCCAGGGCTCCGTCCCTGTGCTGGTGGTATCATGGCTACGATTAGTTTGGACCAGCTATGACTAGCTTAGACCAGCGGTCCGGGTGAAAACACTCCGGTCCCCACGTTAAAAACAGACCTTGTGTCACAACCTGATTCAGTGGGAGGGTGGTCAAGTAAATATCTACAATACCCGAAATTCGTAATGAAA